TTAGATTCCAAAGCGTGTAAATAAATATAACAAAAAATAATAAAGTAAAAAAATAAATAAATAACTACCGGTTGTGGTTAAATTTAATTTAATAAAAAAAAGCTTGAGTTAAAGTAGTTAGTTCTTACATAACAACTTTTTATCATACAACAATTTTTCATAAAATAATAAAATTGTGAGTTTACAATAATTGATATAAATACCAATCCACTCTATTTTTCTTTTATAATCACTAGTTATGTATTGGACAAAATAAAAATTAAATATAAAGTTTTAAACAAAATTTATTTAAATTTGAAATTTTAGATTTAAAATTTTAAAATATGAATTTAAAATGAAATATATTAAATACTATAGGAGTTGTAATATTCTAATTTTTTGATTATTTTCAATTAAAACAATTATTAACTAAGGTCTAAATATGATGTGTTAATTAAGAAAAATTCAAAAAAAAAAAAAATGAAAAATGAAAAACACATTTATTCAAAAATACCGAAAAATGACATTTGTCCAAGTTAATAAGAAAATGACAACTAACAAAATTATTTTTTCATTTATTAAGTAGGATTTTATGTAAAATGACACAAACAATCATTACATTTGTTAATTTATACTTATCACATGATCTTATCAGATGTTATATTATGCGTTGCTTGCTTTTGAGAACTCCAAACGTCGGATCCACATCCTTCTGTGTCGATTCCTATGCTAACTTGAACAATTCTTGTAGATATGAATATTACTTGACAAATATAGCATGTTTTGAATATATCCTATTACCAAGGTAATACCCTAAATTATATTCATGTTTATTCACAAACATATGGCGTGTTTGAAACTTTACCCTACAAAATATTATTAAATAACAACGACGCTCCAAGCACATTCAGGTCGTTGTTTTGGCATTACCACACCAAAGTATTGTTAGGTTTTCTGTATATTTCACTAGATAATCATTTGTCGTTGAAAACATGTATTTTAATCTACAACAAGCAAGCAACAAAGACCTACAAGGATCTTTAACCTAAATAATATGAACTACAAGAGATATTAAGAAACACTAACATTTACAAATCCAGTTTGCTTGAAGAAAATTTGATAATAATTGCAATCTCTAAGCCAAGGAAAAGTAACCAAAATATATTACTTAGAATGGTTCACACCCAACATTTCCAAACTATTAAATGTTAGAACATTAAACCTTACAACAATAGAGATTGATAAAAATTTAATCAGGAGAGAAGAGAAACTCTTAGTTTGTCAAGCGGAGGAGAGTGGGATGAAAATAACGAGGTGTCATGAATGTGTATTTATAGTTTCTAGTTGCTTGGAAAGAAAACTCATTTTTAATTAGAAACTAAATAATGATAATAATTAAATAATCCATTTTATCTAAAATTCAAATCTCATTCTTTCTATCTAGTTTATGATGAAATCCTCAAGGATTATATTTTGACATTTTCTTCCACCCTCGTAAGGGATCTCACCTTCTATTATTTAACTATTGAATAATTAATATTTAGTCCTTACACTTTGAATTAATTTTAAACTAATTTCTAATTAATTTATCATCTCATGAATAATATATATATATATATATATATATATATATATATATATATATATATATATATCATAACATTCTAATACTATTTGGATCATTAAAGTCAACACAAAAAGAAGTTTTCTATTAATGGGAAGTCTTACTAGTTAGTTCTGACATTGAATACTATTACAATGATCTCTTACTTGGACAAGTCATCAACTATTATTGGTTAGAAGGCTCCCACTTAATCAACAAAATGTGATTCCTTAACAACTGTCGAACGTTGAATTGAAAGATATAATATGCTCAAGAGTCATATTAGAATGATATTCTTAATTAACATATGATACTAAGGGTCACACTAACAACAACTTGATATAACTGATTATCTATTAGAAATTTATTTTAATAAATATTCATAAACTCTTATAATAATTTGGAAAAATATTTATTTCATGAAATTAATTGTTTTACAATACCAACTAACATATTACTTCAGATGGTATGAATTAATAAGTCATTCACAATCTTTTGGACTAGTTGAATCCAGTTTTCTTTTACCTAATGACAAATTTTATATTTTATAAACTTAGGGTTTATAAAATTTAAACTATCTCTTCCTTTATACTATCTTAGGCCGAGAATACTTAAAAGGAGAATGAGTGAGGTCTTTTGATTTCTTTAATCTAAAAAAATAGGTATGGTGCATGCACCGGGGGGGGGGGGGGGGGATGCTTGTCTAAAGGGCTAAACGGATAAAGAACTTAAGGTAATGTTTCTACTTTACTACTAGTCTTAAGGCTTGCATTGTGAACGATTAAAGCCTTGTAATTTATGAAAGTTAGCTCCTCTCCCTCTCTCTATCTTTCACACACACACACACACACACACACACTTACCTTCTTGCAAAGTGTTAAAGTGTTGAAGAGTTAATTGCATTCTCTAATTAAGTCATACCTTTGTTTTGACTTAAAGCTTAAGATTTGTAACCAACATTATATCAAGTTGATCAATTATTGGTGTCTCAAAGTTAATCCATCTCCATCAAATTCCATGCCTCCTAAAAAGGACCCAAAGTTCTTCAAAGGTTGTTGTTACTTCTTCCTTGTATGGTTGTGTTTTTATCTTTCTATTTCTTACAAAAAGATCCTTGGTGGGTTGTGATTTGCCATTAAGTTCGAATATTAAAGACTTTCGTTGCTAATATTTGGAGTTTTTGGAAACTATTTTTGAAGTAAAATCCAACATTTGGCATCAAGAGCCACCTTGCAAGTTTGATTTAATTTTTTGATTTATGAAAATCTTAGTTTTTGGAGAATATAGATAACTTGGTTTTGTTTAAAAAAAAGTTCATACATATTCCTTTGACTATATTTTTTAATTGTTTTTCTTTTTTTGTGACAAAAACTTACATTCATTTTTTTCACTTAAAGTTGTATTAGAAAACAAAGGTTGTTGTATATTTGTGTGTATTTTAGAGTGCATAAACAAGTCTTGGACCATTTGTGTTGTTTATGTGATATATTTGAAAACGGTTTGTAATACTCTTTTATTCATACAAGCATGTAATATAAGTAGCTAGTGTTTATTATTGTCATTTTTATGTAATATATCAGTTTTAGACTAGATTTATTTTATGAAAAATGTAACAAGATGGTGATCGAGACCATTTTTGAACACTTCGAGTGGAGGCCATGGTTTTCTAAAGTTCATAATTTTTATAAAAATCTTATAAAATTCTAACAAAGTTGCTTGTTATTGCAAGTGGGAGCTTGAATATCTAATGAAGAACAATTTGTATTATTTGGTCCCTTTGTCCTTTATGAAGGATTTAAAACTTTCGTGTTGGTTCACAAAAGTGGTAATTTGATCAAGGCTGGGTTATGTTAAATGCTAGTTTGTGTTGTTTATTTTTCAAGTAAATATTTTGTGTGGTTGATAATTTAGCTTTTCACATATTCAAACTATTTTTTTGGTTAAATAAGCATCACTTGGAGTTTGACTTTCAAAATTTAAAAGTTGAACATAAGATGTAACAAGTTAATGCTTTAAAATAAAAACTGATTTTATTAAAAACATTAATTACGGTAAATTTTGAAATAGTAAAATATAAGTCTAAAAAACGTGATTTTGAAACTTATACAAACTCAAAATATTTATTTAATGAAAGAAAATTTTATCAAACAATATTAAAGTGTTCTACAAGGATCAAACTCAAAATTAATATTTGGATATTAACGTTAAAATTGAACCTGTTAAAATATAAAAACCGAGTTTTATATTTGAACCTCAAATGTGATTTTTTAAACATTGATACCATGATTAATTGGATGCCTGTAATTATCATGATATCACATGTTTTAAAATATAATAATAAAACATTCAAATACCTTCCCTTTTCAATAGGCATGTCTATGCCATCCAACTTTAGAAACATTCACACACCATTTGTATAATGCTTCTAGCATAAATGATAACTAACCATTTGTATAATGCTTCTAGCATAAATGATAACTAACCATTTGTGTTATCTTTTAGCGGCCAGTTTATTTTTACGATTTTTATAACCAAGTTATAGGCCGATTATACAAGTTTCTATACTTGGATGACTTGATTGGAACCTCTTATGATAAAAGTCACCTAAGCAAGAGTGTTCCAAGGCATAGATGAGCCCAAACACGTCAATCCAATAATGTTTGGTTTAATCCAGATACTAATGTCTATCTTGAAGGGCTTCAATGGGTTGTTCAATGATTGAATTCATTTCTTCTTCATCATAGTTTATTATATTTTTTCCATTACGATGAATTTGTTATCTTTGGCATGTTCTACCATAATCTACAATAAAACTCATGAGGTTATTATGTTTCAGATGGAAACACTACTAGAAAAACAGCCTTTTACGACGCTCATTGCGCGTCATAAAGGACTCAGACGACGCGCAAATGCGCGTCAAGGAAGACCCTGTCATAAAGAGAAACAACGCGCTTTTGCGTGTCATCTATAGACGATGCACATTTACGATGCTCATTTACGACGTGCAATTACGACGCGCGTTTACGACACGCAATGTGTATCAAGAAAGGCCCTGTCATAAAGGAAGACGACATGCATTCGCATGTCGTAACCTTACGACACGCATGTTAATGATACGCAATGCGTATCAAGAAATCTCCTGTCCAGAAAGGCCATGTCATAAATGAAGATGACACACATTTTTGTGTATCATAATTTTAAATGTTTAAAAAAATTATTTATAGATTTACTAATTTTCAAATTAAATTCCCATTTCATGTCTCCTAATAGAAAATAAAATACCATATACAAAAAATATAATACATTGCACAAAAGTTAAGGTCATACAAATAATCATTCTAATAGTAGACAAATGGATAAATCTCAAAGGGATCAAATATATGTTTGTCTTCTAATAGAACTTATACACAAGAAAGTACTAAAATTTGCTATTGATCCTATACACAAGAAGGTGTTTGAATTCAGAAAATGTCTCAACAAATGAATTGGCCCCGGAAGCTTGTGGGTTGACTGCAACTGAGATAAGGATACCATGTTTACTCTTCTTAAGCTTACTAAACAAACTTGACAATAAGATAATATAAAACTGAATTAAGATTAAGCCACAGATGCACTCAAACTATACATACCAATGGTGATGGTCTTTCATCAGTTGCATGTAGAAACCCACTACCATAAACCGAAGTATTAAAAAAACTACTTTATTCAAAAAACTCATATTACTATTGTAATCATAATAAAACACACTGATTATGTATAGTTTTATACAAGAAGTGTTCCAGATCATTATTTTAGTAATAATGAATAAGAGAGGATACATTACTTACTTTATACTGGAATAACTCAGTGAAATCTTTTCTGAAGTTGTGATAGAGTTCAGCCAATGATGGTTCCATAATTACACCAAGGTCCGATGAATCTATGATGAAATATTACTTAATTAATATTCCAACAAGACAGATTGACTCTTTCTGATATAAAAAAATCACTGATAAATTTAGAAACAAGTATTCAACAGTTATTAGTCCAAATATTTTAGATGTGTTTACTTTCGTATAAACTATTTATTTCTTTTATCAGTGCTTGAATTGGCAAGAAATTGTAGAATTGGTCATGTAATTGTTTCAGTTAAGTATCTATCTATACCTTTGACAAACTTTATAACAAACATAAAGTTGCAAAATAGAGATGGAACTGGAACCAGAAATATTTACATTGTTGCACTTGTAGTCCTTTTCTCTTTCAAAAGGGCAGCTCTCTTCTGCTCTCTCATTACATCATTCAAACCAAACAATCAATGGGGGAAAATATGTAAAAAGTCGAGAATTAAAGGGTAAAGCCTAATTCCCAAGACTTTCTTTATTAAGTCATTCTTTATGATTCAATTCAAAAAGGAACATTAATATATGGCAAGTTCCAGTAAGATAATCAAATTACCATTTTGTTACGGTGTAATCGAGCAGCCCGAGCTCCCTTCGTGGCATTGCGATCAGGTTTGTTGATCTTGCATCATCTATTCTACATTAGTTCTCCCTCAACTCAACTCGTTCTCTCTTATTTTTGGATACAGGTAACACCCGTTTGACACTAAAACCTTGACCAACTGTAATTTATATATGGTTCTCTCTAATCTTTCGAATACAGAAGAAATGACATTTTCAAAAACCTTTTAACTGTTGACATATATATTACCACATAAGCTCCAATTTTTATGAATAGTTGTATCGAAAACTTATCATACCTGAAGTTATGAGTCTCGAGGCAGAACTTGGTCTTCCTAATTTTGACTACAGTCAACAATGTACAAACATAACAAAAGTTGATTACAACCTAGATAGAATTAATATCTAGTTATTTTAAGAAAATAATATTGTATATCAATAAAAAAATGTTCAAAAATATAAAAAAAGCTAATGGAATAAAAGAATCACCCCCAACTTAAATGTTTATATAAAAACCTATATACCATAAAATCTTAACATAACATAATTAAATAATTGTTTTGACAACTTAAAAAACTTATATATTGTTGTGAACCACTTTCGGTTGGTACAGGTACAGAGACCTTAGGTGGAGGAGGCTCACTTGCTTCATCATGATCATGAAACGGGTTGAGAAATGGATCATGTAAAGTAGTTTGTAGCACTGGTTGTGAGATGGATATAATGCCATCACCCGATAACAGGTTTACCCAGGAGGTACTGGAATTTTTGGATTTTAGCGAATTATCATCAGTAGAAAAGGGATTGTTGTTTGCATCAGATGAGGTCAAAGGGTTGGTAATGGTAACGGTATGAGTATCTTGTTTGATTTTATTGATATGTTCCCATAACCTCATATCAGAAGCAAAAAGGTCTCTTCATGGAAGAGAAATTACAAGTATCTCTACCTGTTATTACATACATAACCGAACCAAAATAGCAATCAACTTCACAGAATGAAAAACCTCGGAACAAATAAAGTGAGATGATGGCAAGTAAAGTTGTCAATGTACGGTACCTCACCAAGTGTGATAGGGGTTCTGGCTGACACAGCAGGATAGAATGTGAGTACAACCACACGAGTTAGAAAATCCAATTCGCCCTCCAGTTCTTCAAAATCATATAAAAATGGAAGCTTGGTTGTATCTTGGTCATGTACACATGCACCTGCTCCTGTCACATCCATATCCTCATCACTCACAGCTCCTGGTATGGGTATCCCAATGCTTTTCCCATTAGCACACTCAGGAATAGAGGCTCCCTGCACATAACCACAACCTTTGTTATATAACTACTACTTTAGGAATTAGCCCGATTTGGGAGAGATGAGCCAGACCGACCTCCACAGCAAGTTTAAGCCCATCTAGATCACATCCAGTTCTCACATCAGCTCTTGATGACAAGGCTCTCCAAGATGGATAAAGACTTCCATTACATCTGTTGCCTATGGACAAACCTGTACACCATAAAAAAAAAGTAAGATTGTATTATACTATATATATATATATATATATATATATATATATATATATATATATATATATATATATAGGATTAGGAAGTACGACATGTTATGGTATGGTTACCCATATAAGGTCTTTCTGCTTAAAGCTAAGAAGCCTGCCTCTGTCATCAGAACTCGGCAAAATGTTGATATGGTCCAACAAGCTTCTTTCTTAATACTTTTTTTCTGTGGTTATTGGTCAACAAGTTGAGAAGACAAGTCAAAGATTTGACTTCAGTTTTACCCATCTTCACTCTTGCTGAACCATTTTCCTGTCATTAATTAAGCTCATTAAGAGCATAAACTAAGTGTTTTTTGTTAAATAAAAAAGAATTTGAAAATGTTTTTACCTGAGCAATGACTCCAGTTTCAATAGATATGTGGCAATAAGTTAATCTTTTACACCCATCTGTACAAAGGTCTTGAGCAATTCCTACATATATAAAATTCTTTTCTCCAACAACTCATATTTAAATATCGTTTAGGAATATAACTAACTTTAGACACATAAGGCTTGGGAACAAATGTTTTTAAGAACAATTTGAAGAAAAGATACTAACCTTTTAAGGAAATTGTTGATCAGTGAACAAATATGGAGCTTAATAGACAGCTTGAAGAGTACCCTGGTGCTGATTCTGGCTACAATATAAACAATAATAATATTATTAGATGTTTCTTTTAATGTCAAAACAGATGCAAGACCAACTCTCAGGATAAGAACAACCAGGAAACAAAGAAGGGCTTATTAGTTAACTAAAATTCACAATTAAAGACGACTTTTACCATTATAGTAAACCCAAAATAAGTCTTTTTTTCCCAAAAGAGTAAAGCCAAAATAAATCTTTATTCTAAACCAAAATCTATACATATAACTTTCTATCAACATAGGTTTCATCGAAATCAAAATCAAAGCATTAGAACATTAAATATATAAATTATACTTGACTATTAAGAGAAAAAAATACAAAAAACCTGGTGATTTGGAAAGTAGATTGGACCTTTCTTGACGGTGGGCCCCGCACCCGGGACCCATGAAGATATCCGGAAGCTTAGCACCCCTTTGTTCAGCATGCCACCGTTTTCACTTCGAAGACCATTCCAATCAACAAATAATAAGAAAAAAAGTCAAATACCCAAAAAACATATGGTAAAAGCCAATCTCAAAAGTTCAACAATCCACTTAATGATTATGCAGCATAGACCTTTTTCACAGTAGTAGCTATACAACCTCTTAAAGAAGAGATCAAAATCAGCAATTGATTCGACTTTCAAGCTTTCACCATTAAGAATCCCAGAAGGGCTTTTTCAGAACCTGGACTTGGTGATTTCTTATAATCCTGGAATGAGGAGTCCCCATATGCCTGGTGAATGTTCAACATACAGAGCAAAAGATAAGTGAATTGCATGGGTTCATAAGCATCTGATCTGACAAAACACAAAAGAAAGAAAAGTTGATCAAATAACCTTAAATATGTTCCTAATGGTATACAGGAATCTGCTAGAGGAAGGGCCTGAAAGTTCATGTTAAGCATATCATCACGTGGTGGGGAATGACCTGAAGAATGAGTGATTAATAATCTTATTAGTTGTTAGACACAAAAACTAGTTATCATCCCCATTTCTGATAGGTCATTAGATTAAAAGAGGGTCCCTAACTAAATTAGTCTAGTATTGTTTAAAGACTCAATGTCTGTGTCCATTTTACATGTTAGCCCGCCCAAATAATCTTAATAATCATGTTAGACACAAAAAACAGTCATCATCCCAGAGTATGATGGATCATTTGTATAAAAGTTTGATCATTTGGTTTATAGAAGAAGTTCCCTTACTATATTAGTCAAGTATTCGGTTCTTAGATTTGTCACCCAAAACAACAATTCGTGTTTGATTCGGCGAAGATGGAGATCGTTTCAGGTAGTAAAAGATTGAGCGGTGGGCAACCAGGCCACAGCGCAGAGCACACGTCTCTAGGTCCCAAAACATACCTTTGGCGAATTAGATCTAATTGACGGACCATGGGAAGGCAGGAAGTTGGAGATGTGGAGAACAGCGGTCGGTTGAGCAAGTCGACAACTGTTGTTGAGAAGTGTCAAGATAAAGATAAGTTCGGCCATGTAAACAAAAATGTACCTTAAACGTACTTAGGGCTTGTAAAGTTGAGCAGTCGTTGTAGTCTTCGAGGATGTGAGGTGAGCCCGAGGTCGCTGGTGGAAACAGATGAGCCGAGGTCGCCGATGGAAAGAGATGACCTAAGGTCGCTGATAGGAGGTGAGATGAGGGAGCAAACATTACAGAGAGCACTCCTTGAAAAAGCCCTAGATAATGGTCCCTTCAATGGCGGGGTCTTTAACTTTTCTAATTTTTTTTGAATTCGAGGTTTTAGATTTGGTTGACGCCAATAATGAGGAGACCTCGCGGATCAATTACGATTCACCTTCACTTTATCTTCTTGTTCTCCTCTTGATGATTTCAGACTCCGTCTCTACGACTTTACATGATATTTTTCATAAAGGAGTCTTTGTGGAGCATTGGGGTTTTTCTTTATTTCATAACCCTCGCACGTACTGGGTTGAGAGAAAACGAGAGAAGCAGAAGCTTGGAAGAAAATAAAACCCTTGCACGTGCTAAAGAGAAGGGAGGTGGCGATGGCTTAGGGTTTACAGAGAGACACGGGAGGTAGAGAATGAAAGGAGATCTAGAGGAGAGAGTATCAGAGAGGGGAGAGTGGGTTGCAAGGATGAAAGATAGATACAAGGTTTAAAAAACAAGGCGGGTTTTCAAAATTTTAGAGATTCTGTTTCCCCCCTTGTCTACTAAAAGCACGTTTCATTAAAATTATAAAGTGACAGGTACAGACGACGCGCGTTTAAAATAAAGCGCCCTCCGTGTTTTTAATTTATTTTCTTGAGACACTAAATTAAGGGCATGCAATAATGCGTGACGTAAGTCCTTAATTTTTTTGGAGAGATAACACTATTTTAAGGGCACGTCCTTTTGCGTATCATTAATCAGTGCGTGTCGTAAAAAGCGCGTCATTAAAGGTCTGTTTTCTAGTAGTGAAATAAAAGGGAAGAAGAACATATCCAAGAAGCAATTTATTGAGATCCTTCAATTGGAAGTCGATGGTCCATTGGAAGTTCCATCTTCTGAACGTATACTTGAGATACTTAATGAGATGGGGTATGCTCCTTCTCTTTTACTTATTAGTGATTTTAGGAAATCCAAATTGCCATCTAATTAGAGTTTTTACTTTGTAGTGATTATTCATTGCTTGATTAGGAGGAACTCTAGTCTCGATAAAGGGAAGTTGCAGTTATAATATATTTTGACTGGTTTATATTACAATATGTATATAAATTATTCTTCATTTTTTTAAGATGAGTTCACTACCTACATCAACCATTCAAAGAAGGAAACTAAGATCGTGAGTGCTCATTTTTGGAAGCTTAAGCCTTATTGAAGCTTAGCAGCAAGCTGGTATTCCAGTTCCACGATCTAGAAAATTAGAATTTTTCTCATTTTCAGATTTCTAAAAGCCTGGTTGATAATCCATCTGATTTTCCTTCTATTGGGAAAATACCTAAAGCAATGTCCATGTTGAATCTTGTATTGATATGTTATCATGAACAGATGGTCAAAGTTCCTTGTGTTCTAACACTAAAAGAAAACAAAGTCCAAATTGAAGGGAGGGTGGTTATCTAAGAACCATATTGTGAAGAAAAACCACAAATGAAAAGGAAAGTTGCTGGGGTTTTGAAAACTGGTGTTAGTAAGAAATTGGTAACAAAACTTTTACCTTGAAGGTTGAAGCAAACGATTGTTGATAAAGATGATGTTTCTCATGGTGAAGGCAGTGATGATGAAGAGACATATACATAGGATATAGATATGTCAAAAGGTCAATCTTCACAGTACACATATGACGCTAATGTTGATGATGTCGATTATTTAGTCAACGATTCATTTTCAAATGTCTCTCCACTTGTTTCACCACGAAAGATTGCCACCGTTAAATCTACTACAAAGGTGACACGTAATTCCGATATCCCTGTGAACACATCTGATGTAGATACAAATATTACAAATGTTCAAAACCTTTGACATCTGTTTTAGAGTCAACTATAATTGTTATTCTACCAGAGGTTCCTACAATCAAATCCAATTCGGAGAAGACTAGAAATCTCGACTTCCGTAGGCACACATATAATATGGATTCAAGTGTATAAATGGGTGAGAAACAACTTATTGGTACTTCAATACTTCCACCACCACAAAATTCACCACTTAAATGATCTTTTATTCAATTCACATCTGTTCCGTTACATTCTCATATTTATGATAAGATTCTCACTAAACCGATTGCTACACTATTTTCATCTCAATCTATCGATCACTCTCTTGATGAAGGTGTTGGATTATGTCTCAAAGCCCATAACTATAATTGGTATATACTTCAATTGATAGTAGCACAGTCCTTTTGGGTTGCCCTCATAGCTAGCAACTAGACATGATGACTTTTGGAGAGACGTTAAATTTATTATATGAATAATAAATTGAAATAAATGATTATTTGTAACAACGTAAAATTTCCAATTTAATTTTTCATTTTTAAATCACAAAATGTATATCATATCATAATCTCAAAACCATAACAACAGCATTTTCAAACAAATCCCAAGATCTCTCTAACATAAACTCCATCGGTGTGGGTGTGTACAAGTCAAGCCTTCGCCTTCCCACGGTCCTCGCTGGTACTTGAGACATCAAACACAACATCTGTAAGCATAAATGCTTAGTGAGTTCCCCAAAATACCACATATCACAAATACGCCACTCAAGGCTAAACCCGACCCTCCGGTCAAGATGTCTCAGCGGGACCCTCCAATCCCGCAACTCGTCGGACCCTCCGGTCCAGTCATAGCTCGTTGGGCCCTCCGGCCCGGTCAGTATCATTGGGCCCTTCAGCCCGGTTTATATAATCATGCAGCATACAAATAACACATAGCACGAAATCTCTAAGACAGCAGATAAACTCATACATAGCACATGAGACCCTCTGGTCAACTCGAAATACCTACTCAAGGTAATGTATAGTGAGAAGACTCACCTCACGTATCTCGAAAACTCGTAAATCTTGTAACTACTAGTGCTCGATCTCCCGAGCTATCGTCCTCCTACAACACAAGCATAACTCTACTTAATACCACCTTGACTCTGGCTGACTAACACTATAAACTCAAACTAGTCAACCCTCATCAACGGTCAACGGTCAAAAGTTGACCCGACTCGCCGAGTCTAACGTGGACTCGCCAAGTCCTGACGGGAAACCGATCCCTCTGAATCTCTTCCGACTCACCAAGTGACTCACCCGACTCGGTTACTCAATCCCTGGTTCGTAATCACTGAACCACCCGCACCTACTCTTCGAGTCTGGGATTGGACTCGGCGAGTGCATTCCATGCACAACCTCAAACGACCTTCTAAGGTCAGATCCACTTTAGTAACTCATAGATCCAGTCCCCTTAAGCTTATTGACCACGTAAAGTCCAAGTCTTGGTGCTCATTAAGCATCAAATAGCTCATTAATGGAGTTTTAGCCTCAAATACATTGATCCCAACCCAAAACTTCCATGGAAGCATATAAAGCTTGGGCAAAGAGGTGCTCTGGACCTCTATGGGTCTAGATTCAGAGCCATAACTCGCCAAGTGACTATGAGGATACTAGATCTAGCCACAAATGGGTTCAAAAACCCTAAATCTATATGAAAGGAAGAATTCGAAATGGTACCTCAGTTGTGATGTCCTGGACCATAGTTCTTCAAGAATCCACCCCTCTCTAGCTTCCTCTTGGCTGGATCTCCTCTTCCCCTGCTAGATAATAACTCCAAGATCAACAATGGCTCCTTCCCTCACTTGAATCACTCAAATGCTCTAGGGTTTCACTCAGGGGGCTAATGAGTGCAAATGATGGCCATAAGGCCCTTTAAATAGGCCTCAAACCCGAGAAATTAGGGTTTCATTAAATAGTGCAGACTTGCAGAGTCCGGGCATCAATCCGGGTGAAAAACCGCGTCTCAACTCGGCGAGTCTACGCACCAACTCGCCGAGTCCTTCCACAAAAGTCAAAATAAAAGAATAATTAATATACCTGAAATCCCGGATGTTACAATTCTCCCCCACTATAATCCGACTTCGCCCTCGAAGTCTCATTCCTGAAATAACTCTGGATGCTGCTCCCGCATCTCCTGCTCCAGTTCCCAGGTCAACTTGGATCCCTTCCGATGCTGCCACTGAACCTGTACCAGAGGCACTTCCTTGTTCTTCAGAACCTTGATCTTCCAATCCACAATCGCAACTGGTCTATCCGCGTAGTTCAGGCTCGCATCCACCTGAATGTCCTCTAACGGCACCACTGCCGACTCATCGGCAATACATTTCCTCAATTGCGAGACATGAAAAGTATCATGGATCTGCCCCAACTCAGCAGGTAGATCAAACCGGTAGGCTACCCTGCCTACCCTAGCAATTACCCTGAAGGGTCCGATATACCGGGGTCCCAACTTTCCCCTCTTCCTGAATCATATCAATCCTTTCCAAGGAGAGACCTTCAGGAGCACAAAGTCACCAACCTGAAACTCGAGCTCGGACTGACGCCTGTCCGCATAACTCTTTTGGCGACTCTGCACGATCAACAACCTCTTTCCGACCTGCTGAATTTTCTCGGTCGTCTGGAGTACAATCTCCGTGCTACCCATCACCCGCTGCCCCACTTGTCCCCAGCAGATGGGGGTACGACACCTCCACCCATATAACAACTCAAAGGGTGGCATACCAATGATCGAATGATGGCTGTTGTTGTACGAAAACTCTGCTAAAGGTAGATGGGTGTCCCAGGTCCCTCCAAAATCCAAAACACATGCTTGGAGCATATCCTCAAGCGTCTGAATCGTCCGCTCGCTCTGTCCGTCCGTCTGCGGGTGGTATGCGGTACTGAAATGCAGTCTCGTACCCAACTACTCATGAAACTTCTTCCAAAACCTGGAAGTAAAACACACATCCTGATCTGAAACAATCGACATCGGAACCCCATGCCGCGATACCACCTCTCTCACATATAATTCCACCAACTTCTCCGCAGAAGGGCTCTCGCTGATGGCTAGAAAATGAGTGCTCTTCGTCAGTCTATCCACGATCAACCAAATTTCATCAACCACCCTCGCAGTCCGTGGCAATTTGGTGATAAAGTCCATGGTAATATGTTCCCATTTCCATTCGGGAATCTCCAGCAG